ATGCCCATCAGTATGGAATTCGTGCCAATCACATCACAACTTATGTTCTCATTGAAATGAATGAGCTAATTAGAAAAGCACTTTATGATAAATATTTTGCATGTGGTGTATTTGTCGATTTACATAAAGCGTTTGACACAGTGGATCATTATGGGATCAGAGGCGTACCGCTTATATGGTTTTCTACATATTTAAACAATAGAACATAATTTGTTTCTATTAATGACTCAAAATCTACCCTTGTAAAATGTTCTAATGGTGTTCCTCAGGGTTCAGTATTGGGACCACTGCTTTTTCTTCTTTTTTTTAATGATCTTCATACATCCATTAAGTTTGCTACTGTTTACCACATTGCTGATGATACTAATCTAATGCCAATCTAGTTCAGTGGCTTCGCTCCAACAAACTTTTTCTAAACTTTAATAAAACTGAACTCATAATCTTTAAATTAAATAAAATAAAAATCTATAAACATATGAACTTTAGATTAAGTAATGAAAAAATTGAACCAGTTAACTCAATTAAATATCTTGTGATAAAAATTGATTCAAATCTTTCCTTTTTATCCCACTGTAAAGACTTAGCAATGAAACTAAGTAGATCTAATGACATGTTGGCCAAAATTCGCCATTATATTAATTTTGAGACACTCTTGAACATATACAATGCTATTTTCGGCTCACATTTTAGATATGCATGCCAAGTATGGGGGCAGTCCCATCAACAAGCTCTTATTAGGTTATCCCACCTCCAAAACAAGGCTTTAAAAATTATTCATTTTCAGAATATTAAATTTAATCCTAATGTGCTCTACCTAACTTCTAAAGTATTAAAACTATGTGACTATATTCAACTTTTAAACTGTCAATTTGTCTGGAACCACCAACATAATAACCTACCTTTAACTTTCATTAATTTCTTTTCCAAAAGTGCCAACACTCGTTATCGCCTTCGTTCCGATAGTAATTTAAAACTGTCTCTCTCTAAACACTGCTATCATAATTACGGTCATAAATCCATAAAATATCAAAACACATAAACTTGGAACAACCTTCCTTATGAACTAAAAGCTCTCAATTTATTCTCAACCTTTAAAACCAGTTTATTCTACTTTTTATTAAAAAGATATAGTTAATGTTTATAATTTCTATCATCGATTTTTGTTCTCTAAAAATTCTATATTTTACAATTTCTATTTTATATTTTTTATTGGTTAATGTTATTTTTATTAATATTTACTATTAATAACTACTTTTAGCTTTTATTATTACAACTAATATTGTTGTTATTATTGTTATTATTATTAACATCGTTATTTATGTTATTTATGTTACTTCGTTTTTTTTATGTTATAAAGTTTATTACCGTTATTATATATTGTGAAAATTAGCATTATATTTGTTTTAATTAGATATTATTAACATTAGTAGGTGTTTACTTTATATAAGTAAATTTACTATTTGTAAACATCCTTGAATGTAAAAACATAATTCAAAAATAAATGATTGATTGAAATGATTGATTAACTGAACTTTGTTTTTAGATTTTGTTAAGTTTTCTGAACTTTGCGAAGTTTTTGAGTTGGATGATAGTTTATGATTTGAGATTTTCCAAATTTTTTTTTTCAATTTCTTTAAGAGCATTGTTTTTATTAATCTAAAGAAAGCCTGATCCTTTATCAAAAGAATATATACTAATTGTGCAGCTAGACTTAAGTTTTTTGGGAGTTTTAAACAGATCATTGTCTAAGTTGTAAAAACAGGATTATGCATTTTCAAATTCGAAGTACTTTTTATTTCATCACTATTTTTGTTTAAATATTTTAACTTTAAAGTTGCAAAACATATATTAGTAGGATTTATCTGTAATTTTTTAAAAACCTTTATTATTTACACACGATTTTATGAGTCCATTCAACTTTTTGATTAAAATTATTTTGTTAACGTTTGGGTATGCAGAAGTAGATCTTATTATTATTAGGGTTTTACTAAGTTTACTTTTCAGTGGATTTTTTATACGATGAAATTTTGGGATGATTCAGTATTCAACACATCTTTGAAAGAAATATCCATTTGTTTCTTGATTTTGCTGCGTTTTTAATACGTTGATGTAATATCTTTTATTTAGATTTTAAAAAGAGTTTTAAAAGAAAATTTACAACAAAGGTTTACTATATTTATACTTTATACAAAGTGTTATGAAATAACATGAAAAATAACTTGTTCTTTTCAAATAATATATATCCTAGTTCCACAATTATTAGCTTTGTTTTGATGATGGTCTTTTTAAATGCTCCTTGTATTTAAGAAAAAACAGATTACCTAATAATGGCTATTTAAAAAAGTAACGCGGTAACTTTTACTCAATACATTTTTAAAAGCTACTTTCCACTTTTATTTAAGTAAGCTTTTTGACTGGTAATGTTTACTTTTACTTGAGTAAAACTTAACTTAAGTAACAGCACTTTTACTTGAGTACAAAATTTAGTTACTTTTTTCACCTCTGACAAAAGGAGCTCGTAGCAGAAATATTTTGCACTTACCGAGCACAATGTTGTTAACTGCATGGCGACGCCATTTTTGGAAGCTTTAACCCTGCAGTCATACTTCAGGACCAGAGAACAAATAATTAAAAACAAAGTTTTTAAAAACTATTAAAATGATCTAGATACTAATAAGCAAGATTTGAAAAGATTGTTAACTCTTACTGATTCCTGGATTACTGGAGTGCTGTTCCGTTTTGCAGATATTGTTGGCAATAATTATTATTTTTTAATAATTAGGATTTTTAAGGCGAGTAATAAAAGTTTTATAAATTAATTAAGTTAAATCTAATTATCCATAAATAATTTTAAAAAAATAATAAAGTAAAATAGTACTTCATTCCGATTTTTTTAGTTTTATCTGAGTTATATAGCTTTAACATAAATTTGTCATAAAGTCATAAAGTTTCCAAAAAACTATCAGGAATTGTCTTAACCTACTTTGATTGTATTATCACCAACCAACAGATTCATACTTCACTGACAGATTCAAACTTCATCGACAGATTCAAACCTGACAATCCTGGAGCTGTCATCATGCCAGACTTATAGGTAAAAGTTTATTTGATCTAAAACTATTTCTTCTTATGGAAACAGTACCTTAAATCAATGAATAAAGCAGGGATTTTTATGTTTTACACTGAATGGTTTCTTATAGCTGAGCTAAGATCAGCTGCTCCGACATAGGTACACGGTCTCAAAAACTGTTTAAAAATAAATATATAATTTTGAATAAATATATAAAATAGCTATATTATGTTTTATCTAAGCTTTATCTATTAGAATATGAAAACATACTAGGAGATGAAAAATTTTGAGGAATGGAATAAAGCTGGGGCTCAAGCTGTTTATAAATCCATACTTGGATTTAGATTTATTGGTAACTTAGTTTATATTTAATCATTATAGCAATTGCAAATTAGAAATGTAAAGAACGTGGCAAAATGGCTAAGATTTATTTACTTATTAATCTAAATTGAGCTCCTGTAGACAGGTGCTTTCTAAAAACTCTCTGATGAGCCTATACTTTTTCACAAGATAAGCCTCCCAGCTTAAATTCCACTCGATACAGATAATTCATGATATGTGTTTGATATGCTTGGTCATAAAAAAGCTGAGAATCAATCGATGAAGCGTATTATTTTAAATGATTTTTATCAAGAAATTGAAACAGCCATTATGAATCTTGGTGTTGTGGATGATTGCTCTGAAAAGCAGTCAAATTAATTTATCAACTTGTTAGCAAAGCAAATACAAAAGATATATTTCTATTTACTCATGATTACAAGGGAAATCGAAACGGTAGAAAAAAGTTGGATGATGGTGAACCAGCACTCTTAGTATTATTTAATATTTAATTTTGATCTAACTTTTTTATTGTAAATTTTCGATTTATGTTTTGTATTGATACTAATGTTTTGTTTTTTTATTAAACACAAAAAAAATTTATTGTTTTTTCAATGTTTTTTTATTCTTCCTTAAAGCAACTTACAGGAATATTTTTGAAAAATTTAAAATTTTTCAAAAGAACTCAATAAACTTAAATAGTAAACTCGTTACCATGTTATAGAATAGTTTACTTTTTGAATTGGTTGAGATTTAAGGTTTCCAAAAGCGTTGTAACGTTTTACCTAAAAACGGAGTAAAACTGACCCTCGTTCACTCTTACAGTCCTTTCCGATGCTCAAAAAACATTTTGTAAAAAAATTTCAAATATCAATTTGCGGTCAGAGCAGATCATAAAAGTTTTATTTCTTTTTAAATCTTTTAAAAGTTTTGATATGATTTATTTTTGAATAACCCTAATATATAAACATATATATATATACATATATATATATATATATATATATATATATATATATATATATATATATATATATATATATATATATATATATATATATATATATATATATATATAAAAATATACATATATATATATATATATATATATATATATATATATATATATATATATATATATATATATATATATATATATATATATATATATATATATAACCAGTATTATACAGGGGTTAGTTAATAGACTCAATTTATACTTTACAGTCTCATTTTTTTTTAATAGTCATTTTAAAAGTTAGAACGTTCGCTTTCTAGCTTTTGCATTAGCAAAGTCTCTAACTATAGCGTTTCTATTCACTTCTTTAAAGCGCTCATTTTCAATGCTGAAAGTACCCAAGTCACTCAAATGTTCTTACCTCATAAAAAATTGCAAGTATGTTTTCTTAATTTAAGCATCATTAATATATTACTAAAGTATTAATAAAATAAAAATTAGCTTTGCCAATCAAGTAAACTTTCATTAACCCGAATTAACTTGCATTACCCCGAGTTAACTTGCATTATCCTGAGTTAGCTTGCATTATCTCAAATTAACTTGCATTATCCCGAGTTAATGATCAGTAATCGTTTCAAAATAATCCAGCTTTGATAACTTTGATTTATTAAAATTTATTCATTATAGCAAAATTATAACTGATATAAATCGTTATAAGTATCATAAAGATGCTTGTAATATACTTTGAGTATATAAGAATAATAAATTATATACTTAATTGTAGTTAAATTTTTTTCACTTTTAGAATTAGTTGTTAAAAAAACGTTTTTTCAACTAAACAGTTTTGTAATGAATTAATTATTTAACAAAAACCAGTCAATATTGAACCTGCTTTTGATAAAAATCTGTCCAACCTGTTCTACAAACTTGATTCTAAAACTTCATTGTTTATTTTTCTAAAATCAACTTTTGAACATATTTTGACTAAAATATTGTTAGCCCATTTATAAATTTGATAACGAAAATCGGGGAACTTTCCGCTATAAATTATTACATTGGATACACAACCAGAGAGAACAAGAAAAGCTAACCAGTCACTTGTCTTTTCCATTGTAGGACCATATTTTAGAACTTGTTCAACACTGAAAGAATAACTTAGCAGATAGCAAGCGATAAAATAATTTAAAGTGAAAGGAAACGTTGTTATCACAAACATAAGCACAGCCAAAAAAAAAACGATGATAATTTCTCGATCTGCTTTGTTAGAAGAGATTCTTTTTGTTACGCTAGATGTAATTACCAGCTTAATGACAGGATTTTTTCTTCTTATGAAGTTCCACAACATTAAAGTGTTTTTTTTCTTTGAAATTTTTAACGGAGCTTTTGTATTTAAATCATTCATTTCTATCTCACTGAAACAATTTACATCGTTTTTCAAAAGATTATTGTTAGTGCTAGAAGCTACTTGAAGAAAATTACTTGAGTTATTTTTTTTACTATTAGAAATTTTATTATCGTTAATTACAGAATGGTTTTCATGTGTTATTAAAGAGTTTGACGAATTGTTGCGTGAATCTTTTCTCAAGCAGATAGAATTATCGTCATTAGTTTGAAACAATTTAGATCTTTTTTTCATGGTTATGGTCACTCGTACTAAATAATAAGATAATACAATAATTGGAAGAATGCTTTCTGCCAAAAGAGACACGCCTGCACTAATTGTCTGCTCCGCTAATCCATCAAAATGTAGATAACACTCGTCATTTGTAACATTGGCTCTAATAAAAGTAAGCATTTTTAATCCAATGCAAGCAATCCAGATCAACCCAACCGAAACATGAATCATTTTTTTTGAAAAACGTCTAGCAAACGGGTGACAAATTGCTCGATATCTTTCGTATCCCATTAGACACAATATCCATGCACTGACGTTTACCGTTAACGGTCCTGAGACTGACAGTATTTTGCATAGTTCTTTACCAACAGTCCATTTGTTATTGGTTACTAGCAAATATATTAAATGTATAGGAGATACAACAGCGTAAAAGCAATCAGCAATGGCAAGATGAACAACAAACAAACGAAATTGAGCAGATTTCTTCATCTTAAAACCAAAGAATAGAATTACAAGTATATTTCCGATTAGTCCGCATACAAAAAAAAAAGAATAGAACACACTTTTGAAAATGACTTCCCAGCGGCTTAACATTTTTATTTATGTATTCAGTGTATTGCCAATTTTTTTTTGAAATTGTATTTGTGAGTACTTGCCGAAAATTCTCGCTGTTATCTGGAACTTAAATTTTGTTTGCACGTGCGTTTTACCTGTAGGTTTAATTTTATTAAATTCCTAAAAGAGATAAAGTATTAATCAAACATAACATAGGTGTAAACTTTTAACAGGTTAAAACATTAACTTTAAACTTAATTTAAAAATAAACAACAATAATGTACCAGGAAAAACATTTCTTTATATAGGTTTGATTTAATGCTAAATGCTTTAAAACATTTATCATTAAATAAATTCTAGAAAGGGTTGTTAAATAACCTTTTTTTTTTCTTTCTTTTTTCTTTTTTTTTTTTTTTTTTTTTTTTTTTGCGTAAAAAATGTATCAACATAGTTGTAACTCGTGGCAACAGTTACAAAAAGACAACAATCCTGCTGATATAATTTGTTTTGCGATCAAAAAGCGGTATATTAAAAGCAACAACAGTAACTATAACAAGGTATGAAAAATTTTTCCGTGCACAAGTTTTTTCAAAATATTTTGTTGTTTGTATGATAAAAAGTAAATTTCAAAAAAACGTTTACAGAAAAGTAGTTTTAAAAAAAATAAACAGTGAACTCAAAGAAGATACTCATAACCAAGTCACCACAATCTTTTCATAAAGCCTCTATGTGGATTTTAAAAATAAAATTATTAGAATTAAAAACATTTCTTCATTTTCTAAAAATGTAAATGATAAAAATTAATATGTACATAAAGTAAAAATAAGAGTTAATATAAAGTGTAAAAGTTGTATAAAGTTAAATTTTAAATAAACCTTAAATTTCACAACTGTTGGAAACTCCTAATTCAAATATGGCGTTTAAATTGGTTGTCTAGCGTTTATTGTGGTTCTGTAGCAATTAAAGTGGCTATTACAAACTGAAAGTTGCTTAACTTGAGATTAATATTTATATCTTTAGATATTTTCAAAACTGTTTGCATTAATAACTAAGCAGCAATGGCAATAGAACACCCTGCCTTCAATCTTGCAATTAAAAATTAGATATCTTCAATCTTTTAATACATTTTGAAAATTTTATACTCAATCTTTGGCAATCTGATATCCTTTGAATGATTACATAACGTAGCTATAAAATGATAAAAAGATGAAAAAGTAAAAAGTTTAAACAAAATATAAATCCTAATTTTTGTAACATTTTAATTTATCTTTATAAATTAGGTCTACGCAAGACCGATACAACCGGGCATGAAGGCTAGGGGTAAGTTGCCCCCTTCCCCAATTTTTTCTAAAAGACCTTTTTTTTTTAAGAAATCTTAACATATAAATTATCCCCCCCCCCCCATTACTTCGAAACTTGTGTTATCGTCCCTGCCACGTAAAATATCACTTGAGTACTCAAATATTTTACAAATTTTTAGTTTTTTTAGTTTGAAAATTTTTATGATTAAATGAGCTGTTTTATTTTAATTTTGAGGTCATTTGGTACATTTAGTAAATTTTCGCTTTTCGTTTGGAGAACAGCAACAAAAAAACTTTGAATGAAGTTAAAATGTAAAGTTTGGCAAAAAATGAAAAAAGTACAAATAAAAAATCTTTTTAAATGTTGCTATATCTTTTTTTACTTTTATTTCGTGGTTCCCAAATATGTGGAGAAAATGCAATGACTCCAGAATTCGTATCCAGTTCGAATTTGTAATAAATTCTTGCAGTTTTTTCCAAATTTGGATATCTAAAAAAAGCATTAACTTACTTAAATAAAAAGTATGAAACACTTATGTTTGTTTATCCCTTGTTTGCCTATGGCTTCTAATTAGAAAAGTGGCTTCTAAATACAAACATGGCATTTTAGATCTCGCACTACAACTTAGCCTCCGTTTTACAAACCGTCATAAAAATTGGTCTTTTTATGCTCCAAATTTTAATACTTATTCCCAAATGTTAAACTTTAATAATTGTTCATCAATTTTGTTTATTATGTAGCAATGTATATATGTATATGTTTAAATTTTCACTAATGCAAATATTTTAATATTCAAAATAAGTAACGAGACAAAACTTTAAATCAAATTAAGATATGTACATGCATATACAATGCCAGTAGGCATTAAATACTATTTACACATAATTGAGTAAATAATTTATATTGGGTACGATAAATGCATTAAACAAATGTTTATAAAAAATAATTAGTAAAGTAATTACAATTTATTTTATTGCTTTTTATTCCCATGACATCCATCAATAATATAACATATAATTTAACTCTAAATAAAAAGTTCTATATTTTCATAACCTAAAAAAAAAGCATTAACGTTAAAAAAAACCACACCACATTTTTTTTTAGTCTGTATTCATATAGAATCTTATAAAAAATTTTGACTAGAGATCGATCTTTAACATCTATGAACGCTGCAATATCAAACAAAATGTAAAATAATTCTTTTTTGTAAATATTTTAAAACTGCTGAAAGTACTACTAAAGGTTTAATTACTTTTAATGTATTTGATTGTCATCATAATTTAACGTAATTTAAAATGTAATAAGGATTACGGTGCGAATGTATCAATGACTTTTAAACTGGACTCATACAGCGAATAGTACATTTCGAACTTAATATAACTTAAGTAATTTAAAATGAATTTATAACATAAAAATATTAAAGATATTAACAGGATATGCTAATTAATTAATAAAAAATACATGTAATACAAATGACAGTTTGAAAGAAGATTTTATGTGTGTTTAAATATAATTTGTATACTGTCCAATATTATAAAAATAGTTATTAATAAATTTCCTGTCTTTTTTAAAAGTAATTTTGCCTTACAAATATTATGATAAAAATAGGTAGGAAAATAACAGAGCTAGCAGCAAATAAAAAAAACATAGCTACAGCCAATTATTAACGATTAAAGATTAGTTTTTTATGAGTTGCTAGGGAATCTAAATGCTAGAATATAGTCAACATTTTTAAAATTTTAAAAGGAATTATGTAAAATGGCAAAAGTCTTCAAAAACCTACTCTTTAACCCTTATTAAAATTTTTTTAATTTTTTTTTGAATTTTCATGTTATATTTTTCTATACAATGTTCTTATATCCGAAGATATTGTTGGCTTTGCATAGAAACAGCCACAAATAGTCATTCAGACTAATCTAAAGTAGCGTCCGATATTAACCAACATTTTTGCAAAGTACTACTCAAGCGCTGAGTTGGCGGCGGCAGGATTCTACCTTATTTGGAATCTTTTTATTATCAAATAACAAAATCTTATCCATTTTTTTCGAATAACATCGAACTTAGTTAATGTTGTTGGAGAGATTTTTATTATCATTTCAAAAACTTCTGAGACCTCCTGAAGTTTTATTCTAAACATTTTTTTGATCAATTCCCTCTTTACTTAATTAAAAAAGACCAATAATTGTTATTTATTTTATTTAAGCAAACTTAAACTGTTTTTAAAGTTGAAACTTGAACTGTTTTTAAAGACGTTTCAGTCATTTTCGCATCTATTTCATTTTGGATCTCTTATAGTACATACTTGGACTTCTATAAACCAATTTTAAATCACAGATTTGTTTGATTTTCAAAAAATCAAACATAAGAACTTGAAGAGCAACAAAGTTAAAACATAGACAAAAATAACGTCAGCTAAAATGACGCCAACTAAAATAACGTTAAGAAAATTCTGTTATTAATCTAAACGGCACGATCGTTAGTTCAAAAATGCCGCTAAAATAAACTTAAAAAACATGTACAATCACATTTAACAAAAAGATAATTTACAAAAATACCGCAAAGAGTAATAAAATTATAGATAATTATGAACATTTATTAAATGGTTGTATAAAAATATATATCTATATTACCACTTAACAGCATGTGGCGGAGTTAAAAATAAAGGGAAACCTTTTCATGATTTATTATTGTATGCAATTTATTTATATTTTAATCATCATTCATATATATATTTTATTAAAGTTAATTTATAACTTATTTATTTTAAATAACTTTATTACTTTTTAACAAAACTGTAATCGTATATATAACAGGCACAATTTATATGAAATTCGTCAACTTTTTAACTATATTATATAATAAAGCTTAAATTTTTAGTACTTTGCAAAGTGAATTTTTAGTACTTTGCAAGTTTTTTAATCAAAAAAATGTTAAACTCTTGCTTAAATAAATAGTTTTAATATTTTATTGTGCTATTATATGCAGGACCGGCGCGAGTAGGTGTCACGTGGGGGGAGGGGGGGTGCCATTTCAACTTTTGCCAACTAAAAAAAAAAAAGGTCTACCGACTAACCTATATCGAAAGGGTCGACATTTGCCGACTAACTAGCCAATTTGCCGACTAAGGGTCCAATTTGCCGACTAAAAATCATTGATGGGGGGAGGGTGTTTAACACCCCTCGCACCCCCTTATCGCGCCGGCCTTGATTATATGGCTGTATAATTGGAATCCATTTTATACAGTAAGAAAAAAGTTGAAAAATAGTACAGTAATTTTTACTTTTAGTTATTTTTCAAAGTTCGTGTAAAAATGTTTTGATATTGTTTTATCAGATAAGCAAATGGAAAAAGTAATTATGTTGACGTAACTTATTTAGAGTTTAAATTTATTTATTTATTTTTGTTAATACAATTATTTTACAATATTATCATGGTTTGATTTCCTACTGTAATTGTATTTTATATTTAATGATTAATTTAAAGAAGTTTTAACAAATTCTAAAAAATTAAAAAGTGTGGAAGAAAAAATCACGTGTGGAGTCGTTGCTTTGCGACGTGTGGAGTCGTCTTTTTGAGATAGCTTAGTTCGCGAGGTTAGAATTAATTTGTTCCATCCCCACTTTTTGAAAATAATGAGTCATTGCGTTATGCATCTCAAAATAATATTTTTCTACTGCGGAGAAAACATTAGCACTAAAAACCTTTTTGAATCCAGTTTAGTAAAGTTTTTATTTTTTTAAATCGTTTTATCTCAAATCTCTAAGATGTGGAGATGGAGCAAGATTATTCTTATCTCGCGAGTTCATAAATAACTAAAAGAAAATTGCTTTCAAGATAAAGATAATCTTTAATAATAAATTGTGTTTTTATTAAAAGTGGATTCCATAAAAACGTAAGTATATTAAATGAGTTGC